CAAAGATGTCGCACGATACGAGCTCCGCTCGAGGACGAATTGATCCGTTTTTATCGCCGCCGCGTTTTATTTCGGAATTACAAGTTATTCGCTCGAATTAATTCAGAAGACGGACAGAGAGAGAGAGAGAGAGAGAGAGAGAGAGAGAATCAAAACTTCACAAAAAAAATGTAGAAAACGATCATGGCGAGAAGAGCATATAAAAGAGCGAAAAAAAGATTCACAAATAAGGAAAAACGGGCGTAGCTGGTTATTATTTTCTGGTAATAAAAAACATTTATTTCGAATTGTTAATAAATTTATTTCGTAAAAATGTGGTTGACTACTCACCTTTCCTTTTTTTTTTTTTTTTCCGGGAAGATTGACAAAGCCATCAGGAAAAAATTGCCATTTACAAATATTCATAATATTCAAAATAGAAATATATAAAAAATATATTTATATATATACATATCTACTCTGTACATTCTTCAAATAAATATTACTTTATACATTTCGCGTAAATATAGATAAATAATAATTAAATTACTTCGAATAAAGAGAGAGGAAAAAATAATAAGTAAGTTAATAAACTAAATAATTCTAGTTTTCATATCCTTTAGTAAACGATTATTTTTACTTTTCTTTTCAACTTTTCAACTAATGCTACAAAATACAGACAAGATGGCAATGTCGCCGCGAGTAGACAAACTGATATCGAGATAGGGTGCATTCCCGAGAAAAGAGAATTCCAATAATCACCGTCTGTAAGGAAATAATTAATCGCGTCTGTAAAATTGCGGGTTGCGCGCGGTCGGACGCGAATAGCCGAGATTACGCGACGAGAATGGGAGAGATGGCCGATATGGGAGGGGAAAACGCGGCAAGATATCGTCTTTGGTCGCGGTGTCGATCGATACTATCCTATCTATTATTAGACGAGTAACGGCACACGGATCGTTATTATTATTATGCGAAATGTATTTGTAGCTGACTCGCGAACGACGACGAAGACGACGAAGCCAGTATTCCAACCGCGAAAATTATGGCTCGTCCGTTAAGAGCCAGCTCTTGAAAATACAAGTAGACACTCTCTTCTAAGACGGAACAAAGAAGATGACATAAAGAGCGGTGGGATATGCGAGACGCGAGGGTGGGAAACGCGAAACTCGATCGGCAAACTAATCGTTGAACTCCCGCGACGTTGGACGGAATTAAATCTCGCAAAATCGCTCAACCGCACCGTCCTCGGCACGCGTTAATAATGAAACGCGCTCGGTCTCGAGGTGTCGCGATAATTTCGCTCCTTCGGTTTCCCTTCCCTCCCTCGTCGCCCACGGAAAAACACTTTTAACACGCCCGGAATTATTGGCCGCAACGAGAATCAAGCCGATCAATCGACGCTGGTTCGACCGCTGCGATGATAACATTTTTTTTTTTCTTTTTTTTGCACGATCCCCTTCTTTTCCGCGAACGAAAATGCCCCGCGAGAAAATAAATGGAAAACGCGACCATAGGTAAATTATTCAACGGTGTATTGACCGTCACGCCGCGAGACCACGACATATACCAACACTGTATTATCTATCTATACCCCCGGGGAGGATATAAATTATGCAAGACGATACGGCATGGTGATTTTTAAACGTATCTTTCTTTCGCGTCGGTGTGCTTGAACCTCGAAAATAAACGATCCTCGTCGCGACGAAGATTCGGCTCGCATCGATTTTCAATCAACCGCAATCTGCGCCGCTTCTGGAAAGGAACGAACGGGCGAATTAATTATGTACCGGACCGCCTAACTTCGGCCCGACGGTTATTCGTTATCGCTGAGTGACCGCGCCATGTGATGAATTGGATGGGAATCGAATCGAGAGCGGAAGTCCTAAAACTTAATTCCCCTGTTGCTCCAATATTATTTCGGTACAACGTCTCGCGCGTGTACGTTGTACATTATTTTTTGTATCAGAAATTCTATAATTGCGAATCTTTATAGATAAGTTTAATCAATATGAAAGAATCGTAAAGATAAAGTAGAGATATGGCGGCGAATTGTACTATTAATATATTTTGTTATGATAAATAAGATTATCTTCTTCTCTCCGAAATAAAGATAAACGATTTATTTTTAGAACAGCTTGTGAATAAATATTTCTTTCCTTTATTATAGAAAGAGATGAAAAATATTGTAATAAACATGTCGCGCCATCTGATGATATAAATATAAAAGAACATTGTTGTAGAAAAAAAAAAATTTACCATTTGTAAAAGAATCTCCAAATAACTTCGTCCGCAATAAGAATCGTGAAAATAATCTTTGTACAAAGTATCACAAAGAATAGTCACAGCAAAAGAGAAAGAAGGATATTAACCCTCCGTTAGTCGCAATATTTTTCATCCAAAGTATTAAGATGGATTAAAAAGCTAAAGTGTTAGTAATACGGTTTAAAATAAATAGAGTGAGAAAAATAATTTCTATTTTTAAACAATTTTTATTTTAATCTGTCTTCACATGTTCATATATCAGTCTCTTAATGTTATACATCAGTTGTAACGTGTATCTATTAAATATTCCGACTAACGGAGGGTTAAACGAGTTGATATTTTGAAAAAAACATGTCGCGCCATCTGATGATATAAATATAAAAGAACATTGTTGTAGAAAAAAAAATTTACCATTTGTAAAAGAATCTCCAAATAACTTCGTCCACAATAAGAATCGTGAAAATAATCTTTGTACAAAGTATCACAAAGAATAGTCACAGCAAAAGAGAAAGAAGGATATTAACCCTCCGTTAGTCGCAATATTTTTCATCCATAAATATCGCTTTGTATCTCACAGATAAATTAATTTTCCCATTATTTTCTTCTATTTCTTGAAACAATTTTTTTTTTTAACATTCTTGGCTAATAGACCAGGCACTAAAGTACATAAAAAAAAAAAAACAGTGAAGAAAAATACATTGTGGCCTGAACCTATATCTATCGGATATTGCGACTAACGGAGGGTTAATTAAAGCGCAGAAATAACCGACAAAAATTTTTAGGAGGTGGAAACAGACAGCACGGAAAAGGCACGCGACTGCGTTCGGCGTGGAATTTCGGAAAAAAGAGAGAGAAGGATAGAGATGCGTTTTAGGAGCGGCGTGTAACGCTGAAAAGTAGCCTCGGGAAACGTTAATAAAGGGAGTTAATGCGTGGCGCGGACAATCGTAAAACGCGGCGGCCCAAATCTCTCCTCGCGCCGTAAGTGCGCGTATACGAGCCGGCGGGAAAGTTCTTTGGAAAAGATTATTCTCGAGTCAGCAGGATGCGCCTTCGGCCATGCTTGCCATTACAGCGTTCGTCGGTGCGTGTGCATGCGCAGGCACGCAACGCATCCACAAACACACGCGCGCGGGCGTAACGCGCGACGTAACCGCGCGCCAATATGCGCATGCATAATGCCAAGCATAACCGAGTGGTTTATTTATAACGCGGTGCGGAAATACACCCGGTTTGTGCCTTTATTGTAAAACGTCGTTGTGTAACGACGTTGTGTAACGTAATTGCATGATAGTATGATAGGCGACGATAATATGCACTTGCCTCTCTCTCTCTCTCTCTCTCTCTACCCTTTCCTTCTCATTTTTTACCTTCTTTCTTCTACTCTGAGAATTCGCGACACCTGAGCCCGGAGGTACGCAATGACAGTAACGACAGGAAATGTCAATTTTCGACGTAACTCACGTCAGAGACGCCCCCGTCTGCTCGTGAATCATGACGTTTTTGCGCGACCGACAAAAGTCTCACATGCAGCGGCTTTGATCTACGATACAAACGCGACGTTCGAATTAATTTGATCGGATCACTTCGATTGGCTCTGTAATTTTGTTCCCGATGTCTCGTGAAATAAACCGAGTATTGTCAACCGTGGGATGGGTTGTCAATGACTTTACGCGATCGAATTTACATAGGTAGGATTTGTAGAGTGGAAAACGCAAAGCTCAAAACATTGAACGCATTTTGTCCTTGCACGATAAAGAGATTTGATAGTAGCATGTTGTGTAAATATAATAGCATTACTTGCAAGTTAACGTTGAAATATATAGGAAAATAAATTCGAATTTTTTCTATATCTTCTCTCTCAAGTACTTCTAAAAATTACATATCACCTACAAGCAGAATCTGATCTCGATAAGATACAATCGTGACATTTCAGTGAAAATGTTACGCAGTCATCTTTTTGCAATGAAACAGTTATAAATAAACGCATAACAAATAAATACTCGATGAAAGTCGAGTGCATCTTGTCTAAATGGCTGCCCACGCTTGAGTTTTCGAAAATGGCACGAAGCGGATCCGATGCCTTTTTACTCGTAGGTAGCCCCTTGAACCAGGGTGCCACTCGAAACGTTAGCCAAGCCGAGTATTTACGATACTGGGACGCGAATATATCTAATTATAGACCGTTGCAACATCCTCTCTCAGCATATGCACTCTGTACTCGGCTGTATAGTGGGTGTAATCCGGCATGCCATAAATTGATAGATGTACGAAACAATCTCTTCCTCTCTTATCGACTCGTATTGACCCGATTATTCCTCGATCCGACTTTTTATCAATTCTAAAAATTTATCGGAAAAGGAAAGTGTGGAATTAATTATGGTGGAATTATTATTATTATTATTATTATTATTTTGATAATATAATGTGGAGAAACCCTCATTGCGGCATAATTATTATTTGAAGCTAGTAGTAATCCATATTCAACCTTTTCGCAAATTATTTCTGACAAAAAATTCGTACATTTTTATATTTTTTATCTATTAATAATTTATTAGTAATTTATACTTTTTTCCGATATCAATCAAAATAATTTCTAAATTCTACGAAAGATTAAAACGGAAGAAATTTAGTGAATTAAGATTCATGAATACAAATAGTATCAATTTCAAGTAAACTAATTTAATATAATTCATCAGGGTTGCGCGAGGGAAGGTACTTTCTATACATTATGTGAACATCCTATATATCCGCAGATCTTCAACTCGCTGCATCGATTGTCTCTCGAAAGACTGTCGTTCTGGATAAAAATGGCTACGCTTTTGACGCGAAACTATTTTCCGTTACGAACGAAATGCGACTCTAATCGACAGCAATCCGGCCGAGTTTACACGTGGTGCAAAGATATTGGGTGGTCGCGTGGATGGAAGGGGATCCTGAAGAACAGTCTGGGCGTGCTGGTGGGTGTGGGTGCCACTTGCGGAGCACTTTTATACTTCCTGGACCGATCGGTCCGAGCCGGTGAACACGTCGCGCACCTGCCAAGATATCCCTGGGACTTCGAAGGCTTTCTCACATCCCTGGATCATTCGGCCGTGCGGCGGGGCTGGCAAGTCTACAGGACCGCGTGTTACACGTGTCACAGCCTGCGCTATGTACGATTCATGGATTTGATCGACGTATCGCATACGGAGGACGAGGTCAAGGCCATAGCTGCTGACTACGAGGTAGATGGTAGGCCTGAATTTATTTCGCGGGCCGGACTCGCGTATTTTCGACGTGGCGGTTCTCTGCCATCTCCTCGCGTAACTCTCTCGTAATTGACTTCGGACTCCCCTTCATACGACGACGTATAATTCAATTACAAACTGGCTTGCCAGAAATGTTCTCCGTCCACGCAAAAATGAAATTAACCGGTATTCCGTGTAGTGTGAGATATACATTTCTGCCTGGTATTATCAACAACAATGTTTACAAAGCATTTAATTACTTATTAATCAAATGTTTCAAAAAACTCCAAATTTTTCTTAGTAACAATGAAGTAAAAACAAGAGGATAGTATATATAAAAATAAATTATTTTGTAGCTTGCATATTACCAAGAAAGAATATAAATAATAATATATGTATTTCCGAAAAAACATGTTTCAAAATTTAAAAAAAAATTGCCAACCATTTTATCTCTATTTTGTGAGCCACTATATATTATGCTATCTATTTAATATAATACGAGATTATTCAACAAAGTTAATCAATGGTTTCTATATATCAAATGATATTTTTTATTTATCGTGTCTTTAATATAAAAAAATTAATATAAAAAATATTAAATTAACAGTCTTCAAAGAGTTCTTATTTTATTGATATATATATAAAATTATATATATCAAACTATACAGATTGAAGATGGACCAGACGAAGAGGGAAACTATTATAAGAGATCTGGAAAATTGTCCGACTTATTGCCACTTCCTTATCCGAACGATGAAGCAGCCAGATCGGCCAACTTCGGTGCTTATCCACCGGATATGACCTACTTTATTCTCAGCAAATGGAACGGTAGAAATTATTTGTTTTCCTTGCTCACGGGATGGATGGAACCACCAGCAGGTGTATCTTTGACCGACCAGCAATATTTCAATGCCTATTTTCCCGGAAATGTAATCGGGATGGCACAGGTAAATATTATTGTGTACATTTTTACAGAGAGTCCGAAAAAAATTCGTATTATTTCTTTCACCTACAAAATTTTCAATACAGTTGATGTAAAATATTTGAAAAAATTTGATCAACCGTCGTTATTATTTCCGCAATATTTAATAACACATTTATAGATATTTTTGTAATTTTTAAATTAAAATTTTACAAAATTTTATTTAAAATGAAATAAAAAAACATTATATTTCTATCATTAAATCTTAATATTTGAAAATCTCGGATTTTAATAACTGGGAGAATATAGTTTTTTCTTTTGCTAAAGAAAGGTCATTCATCAAAGAGAGAAAGAGAGAGAAAGAGAAATAGTTGAAAAGATAGGTAACCGAAATAAATAAATAATGAAAAATATGATAATATAATCTAGTATATGACATAATGTTTACAGACTCAATAAGTATCCACTAAATTATTCCCGTAAATTGATTTAGTCGTCATAAATTTGAGATAATGCCAAATGTAATCATTATGCAGAATTTTATTTTATTGAAAGAGACATTATTCATGCATTTACATTATTAATATTTATTTTGATAATTAATTGTTTTAGATCAATGGAATTTTAATCGCGCGCTCTAATACTCTTCTATAGCTGTATTACAATATATTATAACATAGAATCATGTTCAGATGCTAATCGAAGGAGCGGTGGATTATGACGATGGTACTCCGGCGACGACGTCGCAAATGGCGAAAGACCTAGTTCAATTTTTAAGCTGGACATCCTCGCAAAATTTTGACGCACGCAAGCAGATGTTTATCAGGATGGTAGGAATCTGGCTTATAGCATGGGGTTCGATTGTTCACTATATGAGGTATACTTGGTCGATATTGAGGAGCAGACAAATCGCATACATACCCAAGGAAAAATATTAAGAAATATTCTAGGCAACAAATACTTAGCTCGAATCTAAATGAAGAAAATTATTTACTGATATAGAAAAAAAATAGGTAAGTAGAATCTTCCATCCAGAGTGATAAAGATTTAAAATTAATTAGTAACGATATAACACCAAATCCTTTTCAGATTCAAGATGATCGAACGTTTGGCTGATAAAAAGATAACAAAGCTCGTAATACATATAATATACTAATATGATAAAAAACGTAAACTACGAATATAGATTTAAAATCATTTCTTCAGTAAGCTCATCTATGTTTGTGCACATATAACTAGTAAATGTGAGGAATAGCGATTAATTGTAAATACTGAAAATTCTTTAAAAATCTTATAAAAATAAAAATATTTAAATCTATATAAAATAAAAATCTTCAATTAAAAACTGATAAAAAAATAATTAGTAACTAATTTTAATTTCGTATAAAAAAGGAAGATATTATAAGTTAATTTTTTCCGGCAAATTATTTTTTAAAACAGCTTCTATAATAATTCGATTTAAAAAGGCAAAGTTAAATTTAATTTTAGCCTGTACCGAGGCAAATTTTAACTCCACTTGATACGATGGTAGTAATCCTTATTTAGAACCGAGCATACGCTTGCGTGGATTTAACAAAGTTGCATCAGTGTATACATATGTGCATGTGTGTATATAAAAATGCAGTTTATAAATACACGAACGGCTTCGGACGAATCCTGCGTCCCCGCGGTTAAAGTCAACGCGGACCGGAATGATACACGTGCAAAGTCGACGTCACACAAAGAACGCGGATGATCCAGCGACTGACTGCAGCAGCAACGCCAGCATACATACACCAGCGTCGATAATCGCATTTCGCAATACGCGGCCTTGACGATGTCCGTATAGTTGCCGATCGGGTCGTCTAAAAATAGGAGCTCGCGCGCGCGGGCAACATACATTAACGTCGTCTCTCACACGAGTCGTTAACTCCGGAATGACCAGTGGTCGGTTCGCGAATCCATCTATCTTCTATCTCATCCGTAATAACACCCCGCGCCTTCCCGCAACACCTCACCTCACCTCATCTCACCGCCTATTTTTAGGCCCACTGCGTATATAACTACGTCTTACTATTTTTTTGTCTCTCTCTTACTCTCTTCGGTTGCTTCTCGATCCGATGATCGACGGCAGTAAAATAGAATGTCGAAAATAATATCGGGCGTTTCGACAAGGGCTATATATAGGAGATGATGCGTCAGTGCAGCAACAAGTGAGGTCCGCGGGTAGAAGAGAAAATCGGGGCGATAGAGAAGATGAGAGGGAAGGGAGGCAGGACGAATCGAAAATATACGGAACGATGAATGAAACCTCCGCATCGACGTCGCCAAGACGTGCCAAGCGATGCTGAGATTATCCAACTCAGGGCGGGGCCGTTTTTGAATGCATCTCCGGAGACGATGGTGACGATGAGGGGAAAATGGGGAGAGGAATACGGGCGCGATACGTGGCAGATATCTCGAAATATCATCGTCCTCTGGGAATTTACTATATCGGCGTAAAGACCGACACGATGTCGACGTATCACACAAGCGGGAACGAAACGCGAATGGAAGCTAACATAATTTCGGCAAAAATAACTTCTCGTGCGACGCAAATACATCGATCGAGATGAAAGCTCGATATTACAGATACACGCGAGTACGAAGTCCGATTAATAATCCGGTCATTTGCGGCCAATCCGCACTAAAGAAAATTAACATAAACGCTCTTTTATATAGCAAAAGGCTGAAGAAGATAAATAACATATCGGATTAGCAAAAACCAATTATAGAATAATGTATCATATGTCATATTGACCAGAGAGGGAGAGAGAAAGAGATTCTGACGTTAAATATATCTTGTATAAGGAGATCACTATTGTATAATTTATTTTTTTGAGGATCAAAATGACGCACGTGCGTGCTAATCACATAAGATTTTTTCTCTCTTACTCTCTACCTTTATCTCTCTCTCTCTCTCTTTACAACAAGATTCTTACCAGTAAATTGAGCGATTTGCATATTAATCGTATTGTCAATGTAAATGACGTGTCTTCGATCGAAACACGTATGGATCATGGTTTATTCTTACGGGAAAACAATTTTGGCGCGCACGTCTAGACATATGTAACTTACTACGCGCCGCGTTTATTTCAAGAGAGGTGGGAGATGTTTTTAAATGAATAAAATACACAGTCAACAAGGAAGATGTACGAAAGAGGAATGTCAAAATAACACTGCTCGAAGATATAATAGCGAAAGCTACAAGCGTTCAGGAATAAAGTGTATATCAACAGTAGTTAAAGTTATATTTTTAAGTATAGACGAAAATATCTCAACGTATTGAAGAAAGAGATATAAAATTTTGAACACAGAACAACGATTCTTCAGAAACAGTATACTGTATAGGAATCAAAGATTATGTAAAAAAATGTTTTAATTATTCAGCCTCTTTCTCTTTGTGTATAAAGATCTTTAAGATTTATATTTTTATTAATAATCCCTGCTTTAACTTTGGCAATAATAATGAGCTAATCTATCTTTTGACAGATTTTTTTTTGCAGAATCGGTTTTAATATGTCTCATATTATCATATCAAATATTTTGGTAATGCGTAACATCATCGTAAAATATTATAATTTGTAGATCAACTCCTCAAAATAAGCGCAGAAATTCAAAGAAAATCAAAAGTCGAACTTGGTTATTTATATTCAATTAAAGAAAATGAAGTATTTTTATAACTCCTCAAAATAAACACAAAAATTTAAAGAAAATAAAAAGTCGAATTTGTTTATTTATATTCAATTGAAAAAATTGTAATATTTTTGGATATTTTATATTATATCAAAAACACGCGTTCTTATTATTTACGAACCTACGTACATAAGTCGTTTGTAAGCAAACTTGTAGAAACGAAGATATTTCTTTCGCAGCATCGCTTCCATCGGATACATAAATATATCGAAATGGGCGCGAAATATACGTGGATGAAAAGCGGATCTACTTTTTGAATGAAACCTCCGAGTTGACGTCACGCGGACGCGTCGCCCATCGTTATCTAAGAAGCCTCTCGGTTTTGCGAAATCTCGCGGTATTTCTCACGCGCTGCCAAACCCCCCCCCCCCCCTCCACCCCAACAAACCTCAAACCCGGAGAGGGCTTACGTCGAGCTCTCAGAATAGTGAATCCCGGTCGGAAATAGCCTCGCACTTTCGGTAATATGGCCATATGGTTGCGGCCGCGATGAAAATACGCTCGCGAAACGTCGAAACTCGCGTATATCCGCCGCGTGTTCAACGCTAAGAGAGTAGCCGCCTGATTCTGCTAAGTCTCCAATTAAAATAGTTTTCCGTTGAAATAGAGTCCGTGTAAATTCGTCGAGGGGCAAAGTCGTATTTATCGCAATTCTCAAGGACTGACATGTGGATCACACTTGATCATTAAACGTTGCGGAATCTGAGAGACGCTCTTTGCGAGTGAATATAGGAAGAATTTTGCCGATCACTCAAAAATTGTGGAAATTCTCGCGCAAAGAATTGGCTTAAAATTTCGAAGATGATTACAACATTTTTCGATAAATCCAAGATATTATACGTTCCATAAATTTATTCTATAGTAAATGTATTATATGTATATTAAAGAGAACAATGCATAAATTTAGAATAAATGCAACAGAAGTTACATCTTCATATTACCGCTCTCTCTCTCTCTCTCTCTGTTTTTCTCTTAGATGACAAAATACTTGGACTAAGCAAGTTTCTATCGTGTATAATTCCAAGTCTTGCTCTCGGGAATTTACTTGTCGGGTAAATTTAGCCCGAGCGTGTACTTAACGATCTTAAATGAGTCTTCCGGGACGTCGCGTTGTCAGCTACGATCGAAGAAAATCTTGGCACTTTCAATTACACCTTCGTCGACACTTAAGAGCTTATACGAGCGTTACAATTTCATGAACCCACGGCCGATTATCCGGCCGTCTCTCATTTCCGCGCGTCAACATAGGCCGCTCGTTAAAATAGAGGATCACGCTATCTTCTCTCTCTCTCTCTCTCTCTCTCTCTTTCTTTCTTCTACATTTTTCAGTCATTTGTTTTTTTTTTTTTACCTATCGCCACGTTTACCTTTGTATGTATCAGCGAGCCGGTATTTTACGGTCGATGCGTGTTAGTCTATATAGTTAGTTTAATAGGCTAGGAGAATAAGTCGCGGTCAGAACAGAGTGGAAACTATTAAAGTCTCGTTTCCAGCCGTTTACTCGGATCGAACTCACCTCCTCGGACATGTACATCAAACGAAGTAAAAGGATAACTCGCGTAGTTCTTTCATCCATGCATGGAGAAAGAGCGTGAGAAACTTCTTCGTTCTGGACAACTTTTTGCTAAAAAGATTAAACTATTGCATGATCTATCATATCAAATAGTCCATATCAAATAAATAGCATAAAGTGTGTTTTCAGTATTTTTGTGCAGCTTAAAAATATTTAAAATTTTTACACACAAGAGAACTAAATTTTTATCTTACATCTTCCGCAAAAAAAATGCCCCACGTGTTCAGTAATTTTATTTGATTAAAATATTTTTTTTATAATTTATTGAATGCACTATCACTATATAATATATTAATTAATTCGTTTCTTGTTAACTAAACTCTTTTTAAAATCTTATAGTCGAATAGATACCAACATTTTACATTCATGCTTACGTTTATATTTGAAATATCAGCTATCTGCATTTTCAACGCTTCACAAATAGGAATATTGTACATGTGATCTGTCTATTAAAAAAGATAAGCCATTTTAATTTACCAGTGTTATGAATCTCAATGAAATGTGAATATAAATTGCCGCGATGCATTAATTTCAGATTTTCCAAACCGGATTTACATCAGCGATTAGATAAAAAAAGAAAAAGAAATAAACTCGTATATCGTTTAGACTATTTTTGCAAGTGATGCCGTCGTTCGTTTCCAGAACGAAAATTCGCCGTTGGGCCGCACGATTTTGCATAATAAAATCGTTATCGCCGTGTTTAAAGCCGTGTGTACAAAAGCAGAACGAGAAAGATAGCCGAGCAATGTTTATTTCGGCAACTTGGCACAACACTTCCAATTAATAATAGTCGTAAACGTCTCCCGCATATCTCGCGGTCGGACAAACAATATATTTCTGTCAGCGACAGCTCGATCTGTGGGAGGTCTTGCCGGCGTGTCGTAATAATTGTCATCGTCACGAGATAAACTTCTAGCCCTTCTCATTCCGGAGAAAAGAATAGA